AAAGGGAGGTGGGGGGGGGGAAGAGGACCTCGTGGCCTGGAGGTTAAAGTGTTGGCCTCTCATTCAAAGGTCCTGGGTTTGAATCCGGGTAGCGACGGAAACATTTTCTTCTATGAGATTGTCTCCTTTCACCTCCTTTCCTGCTCTCTAACAATGTTCTGTCATCTGCTTTCGTCTCCACTTTCTGCTCCCACTCCCTCACCTCCTTTGCCTCCTCCTCTGTGCTCTTGACTCTTTCTGCAGCCTTTCTACTGCTACTCCTTGGCTCCTTCTTACTGCTGTATTTCAGCCACACTCCTGATCTTCTGGTAGGAAAGATCTACATCTAGCCTTCTCGGACAAGGGCGAAGCGAAAAATCTCGGAGGTCCCGTGTGCAAGTTGCGCACGTTACGGATCCTTTTTGGTCGTTTAACATCGATAAGAGTAGGCTTCGGCCGTCACCCGGGCAAAATTCAAAATTTCCTGCCAACTGAAAATGTTTAATGTGTCCCGCGCGCTCATATGACCATATGCATTTGCGAGCGCCGTAAAATTCTTACCAAAAAAACATTTTATGGAGATTTTCGGAATAGACTATCTAAAGTTCTCTCAAGGGCAAGATATAATTGCCCTTCGAGCAGGATGCGGCTAACGGGCCTCGAGTATGTCACTTGTGTTTTAAAGTTTTCATAATGATTTCAATATGATTATTTCGTCGATAAAAAACCATCAATGTAAACAGGGAAAGATGTGGGGACTGGGTGGGATGTCAAGCTCTTTACCCTTCAATACGTATGCTCCTTCCCACCCCCCTCCCAATTTCTAATGCTGTGTCGAAGTGCACAGAACCATTTCAAGGCTTTAAGAATAATCTTTTATTGTGCAGATCCCGGCACATTGGCTTAGTGTTTCCCCACGTGTACACACACACACACACACACACACACACATGCCTTATTTTTTTTCACATACCAGGCATGTTAGTCACCAGTAGGGCTGGGCGAGTAGAATCGATACTTGAAATGTCCCCGATTCGGGTCAAAATTATGATTTTGAGATGTAGGCGTTTTCTATTTTTTCAGCTTCCCTTATAACTATTTAACCTGGGTATAAAGCTCAAAACCGGCTATCCTGGTATTGGTGTCGGGTATCCAGGTTTTCTACTCCCTTCGTTAATTCCTATGCAAATGCACTTATATTTCGCCCATTCATTCGAACCTTAATACTTATCGATACTGAGCTCTCTTAGTTGATACAGTACTCGATAGCCTAGTGCCCACCACTACTCGTACCTCTTCTCACTGGAAACCAGCAGACCATTAAAAGGCCATATTTGGTAATGAGAAAGAAGGTTTCCAAGAATCGATTGGATACATTTGGTAGGGTTAGGCCTATAGTTTCAGTTTCAATGTCCTAATATGGAAGCAACTAGTGTGCAGTTTTAAGAATCCAACGGAGAAACGGAACATTTATAACAAATGTGAAATACAAGCTTTGGCTTTGTCATTTTCGCCCAATTTCTTACTATCAAGATGTCTAAAAAAAAGGTCATACACTTAGGATTGCTTCGAGAAAATAATAGAAGGAAAATACGCCTCCTGCAACATCTGCAAAGGCATAACAAAAGTCGACGAGTTTTCAATTTGAAGGAAAAAAACACCCAAATGAAATCACACGCAGGCAGTAGGGGTATGCGAGTAAGCGAAAAATCTTGGTCGAGTAATGATCGGTTAAATGCAAAATTGTACGGTTAACCGATGAAATTGACCGGGCAAAATTTTCTCGACCAAGAAATCTAGATCGATCAGCGGTCAAAAGTCATCGCCTGTGCTGTAGCACAGATTTTTCAGCGGTTGTCCGGATCTAAAAATAGCTTTTGGTCTTCGTCGCGGAAGTGTTCCCAATTGTTCCTCAATCCTGTCAATTATTATTCGTCCTGGTTGGGGGTCCGGGGGCAAATTGTTGTTCAGTAAGGAGAAAGAGAGGGACCCCCCCCCCCCCAAAGAGAGACACATACTTGCATTCACACAATATACACGCACACCCACAAAAAAAAAAAAAAAAAAAAACAGAAAAAAAAGTTAAAAACAAAAACAGAAACAAGGGATAGCGGAAAACGTGAAATTACTTGAAGTCGGGAGGTACATTGTTCAGTAAGCACAGCGTGAAAGAGCCATCGATGCTCTTCTGCAAACAACTAGCTCAGCGTTATATCGACGAAGCGCAGCCTTTGATCAATTCCTCGTTATGGCTGCGTTTTTAGTAACATGAAATGGACACAGACAAACGCACTTTACGGTATATGAAAACAAAGCAAGAGCAGCACAAAAGGACCATTAACGAACCTTTTTGACGTTTTAACATTTAAACAATTATATAAGGATGTTTCGTTTAGTTTTAGTAAGAGTTTTACGGCACTTGCAACACAATAAGGTCACATAAGTGCCGAAGACTAGAGGTGTTACAAGAGAGTAACAAACACAAAAAAGAAGGAGGGGAGATAAAGACGATACACGTTTGATAGGAAAGAAGAAGCAAACCACACAAGAGCACCCGCCAACCACCCACAAGGATGTTTCCCCAAAGGATATGAGATCAAATATACATTGATTCTAACAACAAAACTTATAAGATAAAAGTGGGAAAACAAGGGAGGAAGAAAAGGGAAGAAAGAAAGAACGTAAACAGAAAGATTGGGGGGGGGGGGCTGGCATATTCACACCTACTAAAAGATATTTGTGAAATAATTTCAAGGAAAAAAGAAATATTCTGTTGTTTTATTTGTTTTAGTAAGGTGTTTTGCAGCGCTTGCAACACAATAAGGTCGTATATAGGTGTCGAAGATTAGAGGTGTTACAAGAGAGTAACAAACACAAAAAGAGAATATTTCAGGACAATAGATTATGTTTGATAAGAAAGAAGAAGCAAACCACACCAGAGCACCCGCCAACCACCCAGAGAAATATTCTGAAATTTCCAGAAAATTGCCGACAAAATACATGTTGATACGTAATTGATCAGATAGAAAATAGCGCTTGCAGGTATTATATACATGTAAGCTTATTTGTACACTTATTTTGTTGCCTCGCCCCCTCCCGGCTTTGTATGAACATATTCGACTCTCATAAACATTACAGTGTTTGTTAATTTCAAAATTGAAGAAAATGGTACCACACGTGGAAAAAAGAAGAAGAAGAAGAAGAAGAAGAAGAAGAAGAAGAAGAAGAAGAAGAAGAAGAAGAAGAAGAAGAAGAAGAAGAAGAAGAAGAAGAA